AAATTATAAAATCAACTTTACCTAACTAACTAAACAAAAATAACTGGAGCTTTGTCTTGATTATTCCTGAAATTAGGACTTAATCACATAATTATTTCCAGGAAATTATTAGAAAATTACACACCCATAAACTATAGTATTACCCACCCTTTCAAAAGACTGCCTTCCTTAAGCGTTGATTACTCTCCTGTAATTGTGCATACACTGAGCCTGATCCGCCCCTATGATCTTACTTAACAGTTTGACAGGTTTCCAAGCTTGCTCTTGTTTCGCAGGTTAAGGTTGGCACAGAAAGCCTTGACATGGATGCCAGTTCCTCTAGGAAGCTGGCTCGCAACTTTAAATTTAACCATTGCAGTTTCACACACCAAACTACTTGCAATTTTATTTTTTTAAATCAATATATACAAAAAAACACCTTTTCACTCAAAACATGCCTAAAACCTAGCACTATGCTACATACATGTTTTGAATATCTGCTGGGAAATGAGGCCTTTTAGGCTGCAACAATTCCCAAAAAAGTTTGCAAGGTCCTGGAGGGACTGGAAAGCACACCTTTCCCCCCAATTCCATTAAATTACATGCCTTTGGCCTCATTGTGATAGCTCCCAGCAGCCTCAGCAAAACATTGGGTCTTCTTCAAGGAATTAAGCCTACAAGTCTCATCCTGGAGATTGGACTACAGGTCACTAATGTCACCCTGGCCTTGGTTGCTTGCTCTACTTGTACATTAATTGTCATAAATCATGCTGAACAAGAGCATCAGACAAATTCTTAAAATGCTGAATTGGAAAGTGAGAGAGAGAGTGACATGAGATAAAAAATGTAGCCTTTAGCAGTTGCATGCTATGTGCTGTTGGTGCTAGAGGCTTTTAATAAGCAAGTTTCTTGGTTTTCTTAGCTTTATCTTGTTCCCCTCGCTGCTTTCTGCTGTACTTGCTTTGTGCTGCATTTCTTTGAGATTAGTTGTCAGTGGATGGGACTGTGTTGTATTTTGCTCTTACAGTCCACAGCATTCTTGTCTTTGTGTTACCAAGATAACAAAAAAGAGCATTTTTTTTGGGTTCTTTCAAGACCGCAAATTTAAAGCTCTCTTGACATTTGGATTGGCAAAGTAGGTATTTAATTAGAAATAGCTTCTACAGTTCAACAATAAAACAATAAATTCCACAGTTTGCACTATATTCCATGTGGCTTCTTCATCAACTCTCTCACACTGATGACATTAAACCTACATTCACTGATTTTTTTTGCCCACTAGGCAGTAGTGGAAATATTATCCTTTAAGGTAATGGTGAAGTGAAGTGAACATGTTAGTAGTTACGGAGTGACATTATCATTCATTTGCAGTCTTGTTTCTGGCCATTTTGCAAATGTAAATCCCATACTCACTGTCTTTTAGCTCTGTTTGTAGTCTCTACCAACTCCTGAGGGACAAACCTCTCTCTTTAGCTGCAAAATGCTCCACTATGTTCACCACATTGACGCTAGCATTGCCGTTATGTTGTTAGGTGCTGGGCAGTGTTCCGTAAAGTTGCCGGCCAGAAAGCTAAACAATAAACTGAAACTTGCTATGAAGCTCCATAAAGTTTGTGGGAAGCTCCATATTCAGGGGCTCATTTCCTGTAGGTTCATCACTATGAGCAACCCCTTTCACATTGTTACATTGTTTACACATTGTCATACATTCTTATTATAAAAATAGCGACTGTAGCTGCTTGAGGGTTGATGACATAACAGGCCGAATTGGTGACCTGGCAAAATCTGGAAAAATTCAAGTTCTAGTTAATAGCCTTCTTCCTGTTTTATCTGTTCTGGGATGTTTACTCCTCCTTGGCAATGTGTTTTGCAGGATTGTACATCATGTCATTCAATAATAATTTATTTTAAGGGGAAAAAGCTCTCTAACTAGCTTGCTATCCGTCGGTTACTTAGTGTTAACTGTCATTTACTAAGCTCATTAGTTTGGTTGCTAATAAGACACATTCTCACATCTTATTCAAAAGGCATATTAATATTGTATTTGACTCTTGTCTCATAACTGTCTGCAAACTGTTCATCTTATTGGAGCAGTTTATACCATAAATAATAATAATAATAATA